GTATTAATACTTCACAAAATATTTGAGGCGACTGTACCGTTTTCGTTCACTTATCTCAAACGTCACTGTCGGGATCGGTTTCACTACGAGGCTGTCCGAAATTTCTAGTTATGCTCTCGCTCATCGATCGAATATTTGCGAGGTGTACGTCGTTGGCAGGCACCGAAAAGTAGTTCAGTCTATCTAGGTCAGGTACGGCGTTTAAGTCGTCGTCTGTACGGTAACAGTTGTCGTATTCGGAATCGTAGAGGGCGCTCAGCGAGTCGAGCGACATCATCGCGTCCGAGTCGAATATTCGCGACGACGCGCGCGACGACATGCTGGTGTTGTCGTCCATGTCGCCGTCGTGATTGTGATCGTTGTACGCTGAATTTACATCACTCAATGCACCTAGAAATTAAGGGGCAAATCACAATTGTTGCAAAATCGCCATGTCGATACAATTAAACGAAATACAAAAGGTACTGACTAAGTGAGCATCTCGGTGAGCATAAATTTTTCAATGATTTTTGAGACACTTAGACTCCCAAAATGTGGTCGTAGAGGATGTGAAAGCAGAACTGTCTCCTAGCTAAAGAACATGAGAACATAGAACAAGAAAGGAAAAGCATAACGGTAATCCCTCCATATTGTCTTCCGTCGCCAAAGCATCAGATTTTGAAAGCTGAACTTGCCATATGGTTGTAGGACAATTCACGCTCGGACAATTCGCTTCCGGACAATTCGTGTCCGGATAAGTCGCTCTCGGACAATTCGCTCCCAGGACAATTCACTCCCAAGATAATTCGCTCCCAGGACAATTCGCGCTCGGATAATTCACGTCCGGACAATTCGCTTCCGGACAATTCGTGTCAGGAATATTCGCACAAGGACAATTCGCTTTCGGAAAACATGCAAGTTGAGATCAAATGGTTTATGAAATATTGACAAATAAAATTTTCCACAATTAACATCGAAGAGAAGTCTCCAACTCCTATTTTATTTGGGAGTATTCCGTATTGAGG